ACATGCTAAAGCTTTAAAAAAGAGTTAGCAAAACGATATGTATCATTTCCAGGAATTCCCCTGTCACAAAAGGTATCAAACCGACGTAACAACGCTACGTTAGAAGACCATGTACAAGCGTTGGAAACAGTGTTGCAAGATCACTGTAATTTATGTAACACAACCCTAATGTCAGATAACTACCAGATGACCAGCATTAAATGATCTGCAATAATTGGCCTAAATTACTCTATGATTTTCACCCTAACCCTAATCCTAACAAGGATGCATCCTAAAAAAATTTTTACCGTGACACGTAAATTCCAATTAAAATCTGATTTCTGCCACAGTTAACTAATTGATACGTGATTTCACATTAAGCAGTGTAAGTTATTCTTTTGCATACGTCCAATATTTGACCCAACGGCAACCTCGACTTTTCACAAATTAGCTTCATTAATGAGGAAAAACATACACCAGTAGTATTTTGATTACACATCGAAAAAGATGGTCTCTCGGAATAGTACAAGGCACCCTAGGCGTGCCTCGAAATTTTTAAAACGACCCAAGACTAATTGAACTCAAGCAAAAATATAAAAATGGTCATTATACGAAAGCTATCGATGATTAAACTATCAATACTGACTCATCTTCTTGAGAAAAAGAACGTTTGTTAAACATGTTTTTATGTGTCTGATTGAATCCAAGCTTAAGATTCTTCACATTTTCCAGCCCTTTTCAACAGAACACTAACAATAAAGCAGGCAAAGTAATTAGAAAACGTATTGATGATCTTCCCGAGGAGACTAAATAAGCAAATACACACACAACAAAATCTCGTCTAATGGAGTCAAGTTAGAATGATGATAGTTCGACATTAAAACCGGCAAATTTGATGATAAATCAAGAGAATCACAGTTTGCGTTCGTCATCATCTGTTTGGTCTTCTAATTTTAATAGTGAAGAAGATATTAGAGCATTTTATTTTACAACATTTTAATATAACCGTTATAGGTATTGATTACGAATATTTTAACGCTCAGAGTTACTAACCAAAGAAGGTACGCCATTTATCAGATGAAATGCGAACTCAAACATATTGACGTACTAACCATAGTTGGAACGATGCCAAACATATTACAAGTCATTCTTGTTATAGTGAGCTCACAATAAGTGAAGAACAGTTTATATCAAACGCTTCCGATACAGTAAATTTACCAAAATTTACCAATAACTCTCTATTTAGCGAAGGAAATCTTATAGTCCGATGACTTCACTATAACGAGAGTGGCTTGTATTCGTGGGAGAGCATTATTGATCGGATTGATTTTAGGGGTATCTCTAAGGAAATGTAAATATGACAAAGTTCGTTACATTCATTACATTTATCAACAACAACGTTGTGGTTGCTTTAATACTAAAGCGCTATTCTCGGTAACGGTCAAAAAAAAGTCACGCTCAAATGCTACATGGGAGCCCGCAAAGCGGGTTTCCATTTATATAATATACCCTGCTTTGCAGGATATATTATAACATATATATAAAATAAACTTTAATCTTAGAGAAAGAGAGAGAAGAGAAAGAAGAAGCAGGAGAGAGAAGAGAGAGGAGAGGAGAGGAGAGAAAAGGAGAGAAGAGGAGAGGAGAGGAGAGAAGAGAAGAGAAGAGAAGAGAAGAGGAGAGGAGAGAAGAGAAGAGAAGAGAAGAGAAGAGAAGAGAAGAGAAGAGAAGAGAAGAGAAGAGAAGAGAAGAGAAGAGAAGAGAAG